TATTAATATGATCGAATACCACATATTTCATACATAATGGATCCCAATCTTATGGTAAAATGTGTGGTGTGGGATGGGATCACAATGCGACCCCACATTGGCACGATGTTGGAATGTATTTTATTGGTAGGAGATCCCAACTCAAATTATGCTGCGATAGATCCTTAACCTTAAATGACCAAATTACCCTTCAGAGTGACCCTATTTAAGAATGCCACCGAGGGTATCTTTGGTCTATTGAGGTTTAGTATGGTTGGATGCTTTTAATTCAAAACGTTCTTGACTTTTCCTGGCTTGATATTTTAACTAAATAATAAAATCTAAGTTAATAAATACACAAGGGTTCTAAGTTCTAACTAAATTATTGGCGTGGCTAGTAAAATGACCAGAATACCCCTATTTAATTTAAAATCGGGTGCCAAGATTCCATGAGATAAATATGTCTCCTTTATCTTATCCGTGGGCCCTCCGGACATCGTCCTAAAGCAATCCTTCCCGACGACTTTTTGTTGGATTCCATTTATTGGCCCAAAGAAGAAAACCCATTTCACTTTCAGCGGCCCCGTAAGGCTATTTTCGTAATTAAATTCACCGGCCTACCTGGCCCCCGCCTGACTTTATGTCGCACCTAATCATTTTGAACTCGAATATGCTGATGGGTCCATTGACACACTTGTTCCAATCCAACGATTTCTAGAGACGGGAGCCACACACAAAAACCATTGAATAATAATATGGACGGGAAGAACCGGTGTACCATCTTTCTGGTTACAATTCTTTTGATTGCCCACGTAGAGGCAAAGATATGGTCAATCACAAGTCATCTAAAGGGATGGGCCATTGCTAAGAAGTACTACCGGATGCATAGGATCATTATTTCAAAATAATATCCTGCTAACTTGCGCACTGTGCGTAATGGCTTATGTCAATACGACATGCTTGTGCTTACACGTAACCCACCCAATAAAGCGTCCTCAATCTCCTCCCCTTTTCAAGAACCGAAAAAAAGAGGAAGAAAAGGCACACAAATGATACAAACAAAATAAAAAGGGCCCCCGCCCAGCAAAAAATAATAATAAATTAGACAGGGCACCTCCGTAATTTTCGAAGTTGTTGAGGGCAATTGAATACTCCACAAGTGCGACGCATCATTTTTTACGTCTTCAGTTCCCCAACAGTAGCGTAGTACGACAGATCCAGTACAAAAGCATCAAAGAAGGAAGAAAGGGAGGGACTAGGGAGAGAGGGGGAGGGAGAAGACAGGGTTTAATAATTTCGAAAAGGTAAAAATGAGGGGCGAAAACGTCATTTTCGGAAAGTGATAGGACTGGCTTGGGCAGGCGATAGGGCTGCGAGACACGTGTCCCATCCTTGGCCGGACAGCGACGGGCTCGAAAAATTTAAAATCCGAAAAATCGGAGAAACTACTAAAAATATAAAATTCGTTGCTGAAAACTCCTGCTCTCTTCCCATTGGTTGGGCCCTTGACCTCTGGACACGTGGGGCCCGTCCATTCGTGTTTTTACACGCCAGAGAACAGTGATTGATTGGACGGTGGGTCCCGCGAGGAGACCGAACCTTCGGCCGCACTGACACTAACGTGCTGTTCGATGGACGCGTGTCTCGGGGTTGGGCTTGTAGGGACCAGCTGATGCGAACAAAAGTCCAACCAACCTCACCAGTCGCCAAACGCTTTACGTTAGCTGGCACGTGGGATCAACGCTATGGTGTGGTGCATGTCTGTGTGGGGACCACCCTCTCCCTGCCTAACCCCCTCAATAAGTGCGCTCCCTACGTGGCAGCTTCTCAGCCCTTCGAACCAAAAGGCCAAAACAGATAGAACGAGACCCAGCCCAGGCCCGGCCACAATTCAAAAAACTTAATTTTCTTTATTCTTTTGGTATATTTATTTAATGTTATATTTGGTTGGATAGAAAAGGAAAGAGAAGAAAAAAAAGGAAATTAAAATTAATGTCAATTAAGAAAGAGATTTTCTATTCTTTTTCTTTCAAACCAAACACACCCTAAGATAATAGCAGTAGTATAGACTGTGCTAAGATTACTACTTTAATGGAAGTAGTGTACAAAAGAAATGCTTTTGAGCATTATTGAGGGTGTGCTTATGCCATTGAATTAGGGTTTTGTATGGCGTTGAATTAAGGTTAAGTACAGGGACTGGATGCTAGAAAGTGTCATGGCGAATTGATGTCATGTGTGTCGGCTAGCGAGCGTGTATGACGTGTGACCGTGACTTTCGACGATGATTGGACGGTTGGATTTGCGCGACAAATGTTGATTTAAGCTGCCTCACAACGGCGTCGGTGGCACCTTTGCTATGGCTCAAAGGGAGGTGTAGGTGGTGGGTGTTTACCATAATTTAGCAAGAAAAAAAAATGGTCATAAAGAAAAGGGAGGCAAGAGAGGAGGTGTGGGAGTTGGAGTGAAGAGAGGACCATACAATCTAGTACTTAGGGTTTCATTTGTGGCTATTGACACCTTGAGAGAAAAACCAAACAATGGTTGCGTACTAGGTGGGGGGACATCTTAGAGAACAAATAGGTCATACACAAAAAAACAGTATACCCACATTTTCTCCTCCTAATTAAATAGATGGGCCCTCTTGTGGGCTCTCTCTCTCTCTCTCTCTAAAATGGGTACTAAGTGAATTTTTGTGGGTAGTAAAACTCGTGTATTAGGTTTCACACAAGCCCAAAAGGTTGTGTAATGTATCTAACCATCCCTTCAGACTTTCAATTTGATGGGCCACTTCTTGGGTAATGGACATGCAAAAGTGAGCGATGGGGTTGCAAACAGTTCTTAGCACATCAATGATCAATCACTGGACCCACAAAATGTTCTTGAGTTATCCTTTGCTTCTTTCTTTTTTTTCTTCACTCTATAGGGGCCCATTTACGCATATAATTATGTTGACTACCATGTAAAAGTGAGATTTTGATCAGATGGTTAGTAAGTAGCTTAGGGAGTTGAGCAACTTTTCTTCTTTTGGGGTATGGCCTATTCATTGTATATAGAGATGGTTTGTTCATTTGAGCCTCTATGCCAAGGCTTGGTTAATGACCCAATTAGTTGTATTGATGGAGAATAATAAAAGCAAATGGGAGTGACAGAGAGTATATATGGACATTCATGAATCTATTAACAACTTTAGTTTGCTTAGTACAATAAAGTATTCCCCACAGGTTTTACAGGGAATTTAATCATCAGTCAGAGAATAAATGATCTAGTGAGAAATTCTCATTCCTTCAAGGTATAATGCATTTCCTTGTTGAATCAGATCTATGACTATAATAGAAGTGTCCCACAGTGTGTAGCATGGGTTGATGCGGCTCCAGTTGAAATTACCAATTTTATTAATACCAGGAAGAAAGAAAAGGAAAGATAGAGAATCTCTAATCTCCTAATGAAGGGTTAGCTTTCTTCATTTCCACTACAAGAGGGTTCCAAGGGTTAGAGTTTATAGTTTTAAAAGTGTGCATATCTAGTAAAGTTTACCTGGTGCAATGGTAAAATCTTAGGCTTACAAGCATGAGAATGCAGGTTCAAGTCTAAAAGCAAAAAAAAAAAAAAGAAAGAAAAACACAATCGAAGTCTGGTCAAGACTCTAGATATAGCCGGGACCAACATTGGGTAATGGCCTTTTTCTATCATATACCAACAGCAGACAATGTCGACATATCAATGTAGACAATTCAATCGATACAGTCTTGCCAATGGACCATTGTAGCAATCGAACAACCCTAACTGCCGGATTTTCCGATCCGATCACGGCCGGTAAATTAGATGGCTAGAATCAAATATCATCATTCAACATGTCTTGGGCCCTAGTAGTCTTTTTTCTTTTTTTCTTCTTTTGATAAAGAAATGAGCACTTGACATTAGCAATTAGTCCTCCCCCAAAGAAAGGAAAAAAATCAAAATAAAAAAATAAGAATTAAGCACATCATGCATCTTTGCATCCATCATGGACACCTAAAGCTTGAAGTCTATACACTATAATTACATAAAAGACTCATTTCACTCTTCCAATCAACCTTCCTTTGTAATGGTACATATATAACTCGTGCTTTTTTAATCCTATACCTAGTTGGAAGCTATAACAACTCTTTATCTTATTATTATATTCTCTATTTTATTGTATATAGATAAAATATGTTAGGAGATATCAAGCTTTGCACAGTATTCCTCCCCATCTGCAGTCTTTTTCTTCTGAAAAGAAGGTGGAAGGTACATAGTGAAGAAAGGAACCAGCAAGCAGAGTGGATAACAAGATAGAGATGGCTAGATATAACTAAATGAACAATGAAGAAAGCAAGATGGACCCTGGTAAAACACACCCACACCAACTCAAATAAAATATAAGCTTATATGTATGGAGGAAGGACTCCTGTAATATAGTAATTCAGTGGGGAGTGGATCTCTGGCTGACCGAGGAATGTGTAGTACAAACATGCTTGGTGATATGGAAATCTTCATACAAAATTCAGCCTCATCTCAAGTGATGATCTTGATTCTGTAGTCATCTTTGTTGAAATTTGTAAATTAAAGTATATTTCCAGGCAAATTTGATTCTCTGATTGGACTGGTTTGGGCCATGAGATCTTCTCAGGAGGCCTTTAGATCAGGTTCTTCAGACTTATCTGCACATCAGATATAAAATCTTCTAAAAATCATACTATTCCAACTATTAACATGTCTTTTTCTTTGGTAAGTTCCTAACTATTTTATGTCATAGTCTCAACAAAATGAGTTTTTACTCAACTCTCTCTCTCTCTCTCTCTCTCCTATTTTTTCTGGCATTTGAAGCTGTTATTATGGTGGTGGTTGGATTAATTCCTTGGCATTTCAATTGCTTTATCTTTGAGCTCTTCCACCAACCACAAAAAATAACAAATAAATTAACACAAAAGATTAAACAAATTGAAAAGGACAAAAAGATATTTAATTCAAATAGCAGGACCCCTCCTCCCCCTTCTTCCCATCTTCTTTTTTGATTAAAAAAAAATTGGCTGGAAGTAGACGTTTCCTCGTTTTTCATCTGTTTCTTTCTTCTGACACACTGATAGAGTTCTTAACACCTCTTCCAGTCTCTCTCTCTCTGAAAGGTTCGTTGTTCTTCATCAAACGAGCCTGGATCTAATGATTTGAAAAGGAGGGTCAAATCACTCAAGTTCTCTCTCTTGTTTTGATCTATTCTCAGGTACTTCACGCAAAGCTATAAGTGAAAGAGGGGCCTGCGAAGGAACAACTCCTACGCATCCCTCTCATCAACACTAGCAGCAAGAACACACACACAAATAATTAATAATTTCTGCTATTCTTAATTCTCTGTTTCCAAGGCAAAATAGTACACATGGTTTGGATAAGGAGTGAAGAAGATGGGTATCTTTTGTTCAGGCTTTCTAACCCCATCTCTCTCATTCTTTCTCTTTTTATTTCTTTTCCTTTTCAGCGGGAGAGCTGCAAACTACTGAACCTGACAAGCGAGACCCTTCCAAACCAAAGTGAAGAGTGAGTGATACTGATGCATACATCGATTGAATAAATAGACAGAAGGTGAGGAGCTCTCTTTCTCTCTCTCTCTCTCTCTCTCTGCAAGATCTTTCATGGGTTTCGGGTCACTGTAATTAAACACAATTCTCATCTGCAGAAGATGAAGCACGTGCACTCTGATTTCCATCATACCAGGTACTTGTAATATCAACTGATAGTTTCTCTCTCTCTTTCTCTCTCTTTCTCTCTCTCTCTCTCTCTCTCGCTCTCGCTGATGCTACTGCTTCTGTTCCTGCTGTTGTATATATAAAGGACATGACTATAATTTCTGGACCCTTTCAACCTAGTGATGATAAGAAATAAAGACAAGATGGGTCCTTTTGAAACCCTGAATTGATCTGAATTATGGGTTTGAATGGAATCTCGAGTCACTGAGTACAGATTTCAGTCAAGAGTGTTTGTCTTTCTTTCTGGTATTTTACTGATCCATGATGGGTTTCTTCTCCTGTCGGTTGCTGCTTCAGGTGTTCTCTAGGATCAAGATGCTGATCGGAGCTCGCCTAGAAATCTGAAGAATTCAGACTGTATGTTGAGCAACAAGATGGGCTGAAATCAATGACCCAGAATGATATTTTGGTTGATCGGTAGGACGATATTTTACCTGGAAAGAGAGTTCATATAGGGAGTGAAGAAAGAGGAGAGAAAGAGAGAAGAGTTGTGAGAATTTGGGTTAGTTGTTAAGCCTAACGTAGTCTCTTTTTAGTGGTATAAGATAGTCATCAAATCAATGGCGACGTACTTTCACGGAACTTCGGAAATCCAAGCTGACGGGTTGCAGACGCTTTATCTGATGAACCCTGGCTATGTCGGATACTCTGACACACAGCCTCCGTCTAACATGGTCTTCCTCAATTCCGCCGGAAACACTTTAAATCCGGCAAGCTTATCACACGCGGCACAGACGAGCCAACACTTGGTGGGAATCCCACTTCAGGCGACGGCTGTGGCTGCCGGGGCGGCAGCAGCATCGCAAGATCCTAACCGCCCATCAGTGCACAGCCAGCAGGACATGTCCACCATCCATGGGTTTGTTCCTCGTGTTCACTACAATCTGTGGACGCCAATGGATCCGACGGCCGGAGCTGGAAGTCCACAGGCTCACCACCAGCACCAAATTTCCACAACAGCAGCTGCGGCGGCGGCAGTGAGCAATTCTGTCGGTGTTACCGACGTTTCATCACAATTGGGTCTCAGGCGGTCTGTTGTGTCACCGACTCAGCAAGGACTGTCTCTCAGCCTTTCTTCTCATCAGCAGACAGCTTATGGGTCATACAGGCAAGAATCTGACATTCCGGCACCAGCTCCAGCTCCGGCTATATCTCCGACCAGCGGCAACGAGATGCGTATATCAGGCGGCTCTTCCTCATCAGCATCGGCAGTTTCCAATGGAATTTCTGGCATGCAGAGTGTTCTATTGGGTTCCAAGTACTTGAAGGCTGCACAGCAGCTCCTCGACGAAGTCGTTAATGTCGGGAAGGGAATCAAGACTGAATCGGCGAAAGGCAGCAAAGGACTTAGCAAATTGAGCAGGGACTCAAATGCTGGGAGCGGAGAAGTCTCGAATGCAGGCGAAACCAGCACGAAGCCCGCAGTCGAGTTCACAACAGCAGAAAGACAGGAGCTTCAGATGAGGAAGGCCAAGCTTGTCAGTATGCTTGATGAGGTATGAATATTACATCTGCTGAGGTTTTGATTAAAAGAAACCTAAGAATCCCCATCAATTCAAGTTACAGAGGTTGATTTTAGGAAAGGAATTCTCTAAAGGCAAATTATTGGTAGAACTATTTAAAATTGAGTTGGGTCTCTATCGATTTCAGTTGGACTTTATCTTTTTGAAGGAACCCATCAAAGAAAAATGGTTAAGATTTTAATAAGGTGTGTCAGCTTTCTATAGCATTTTTTTATGTTAAATTATTAGAAACATTTATGTTTTCTAATTCTGGAAGAAAAGATTTCTTTTTAAAATTCTTATGCAGAACCGATATGCTTTTCAGTATCTTCCTCTGTGACAAATTCAATAATGAATTTCAATCGGGTTGTCCATAAAAATTATTGATATCAACCAGCTTTTGGAATACTGAAGCTTCATTGTCCTAATTCTCCTTGGTTTAGTTTAATTAAAATATGGAAAGAGTTGTATTTCCCAGATTTAAGGCTCTCCTGCAATGGGACCCTGTGTATTGAATCTCTTTAATGGTTATGAAGGTGGAGCAACGGTACAGACAGTACCATCACCAGATGCAGATCGTAGTGTCTGCATTCGAACAAGCAGCAGGCTTCGGGTCAGCAAAAACGTACACGGCCCTTGCTCTGCAGACGATTTCAAAGCAATTCAGGTGTCTGAAAGATGCAATCTCTGGGCAAATTCGAGCCACAAGCAAGAGCCTGGGTGAAGAAGATTGCTTTGGAGGGAAGTCTGAGGGATCAAGACTCAGGTTCGTAGATCAGCAGCTTCGACAACAACGGGCGCTTCAGCAAATTGGAATGATCCAGCACAATGCTTGGAGACCTCAGAGAGGATTGCCCGAAAGATCCGTTTCTGTTCTTCGTGCTTGGCTCTTCGAACACTTCCTCCACCCGTAAGTGCTCTGCAAATTCACCTTCATCTTTCCTCACTCTCTCTATTCAGAGATGTTTATGAAGATTATTTAATCGTTCGACTTAATTTTCAGCTATCCCAAGGATTCAGACAAGCACATGCTTGCAAAACAAACAGGGCTTTCCAGGGGCCAGGTAGCCATTAGATTCTTCCTTCAGATATTTTCTGATTTTCCATCATTTTGAACAGTTGTGTGGTGTGATTAAAAGAGATTTAATCTTGGGCAATGCAGGTCTCTAACTGGTTCATAAATGCTCGAGTTCGGCTCTGGAAGCCAATGGTTGAAGAGATGTATTTGGAAGAAACCAAGGACCAAGAACAGAATGGCTCAGAGGATAAAACCAGCAGGAGTGAAGTCAATGAGGATTCAGGGTCGAAATCCAATGCTGCACAAGAGAACAGTCCTGCTAGAACAGATCAAATAAAAAATTTCAGCTCCAAACAAGACAACACCACCAACCTAAACGCCATTTCTACCGCCATTTCAAATTCTTCAACTTCTGCTATCATGGGCGGAAACATACGGACCCAAGCTGGCTTCTCCCTCATTGGGTCATCAGACGTTGAAGGGTTCATGCAAGGAACCAGCCCCAAGAAGCTCCGGAGTACAGAGTTGCAGCAGAATTCCCCAAGTAGTATTCCTTCCATGGACACAGATGTCAAGCCTGCAGACACAAACAGAGATCTCTTCACAAAATTTGACACAGGCAGACAGAGCAGAGGTGGGTACCCATTAATAACGAACACGACCAACCATGGTGGAGCATTCAGTGCGTACTCACTTGGGGAGCTTGGCAGGTTCGACCCTGAGCAATTCGCACCAAGATTCTCTGGCAATGGAGTTTCCCTCACTCTTGGCCTTCCCCACTGTGAAAACCTCTCCCTATCAGGAACCCAACAGACCTACCTCTCCAACCAGAACATTCAACTGGGAAGGAGGCTAGAGATAGGTGGAGGTGAACCCAATGACTTCTGTGGGATGAGTTCTCCACCACCCCACTCCTCTGCTGCTTATGAGAACATGAACATCCAGAATGGAAAGAGGTTTGCAGCACAGTTATTGCCAGACTTTGTGGCTTGATGGGTTCACACATCCTTCACACTTGTCCAATCTCTCATTTTACTTCTGCCATTGCTGCTCAATTGATGGGTACTTCCAATGGAGAAAGAGAAGGAGATTATATTCGTCTCCCATCTCAGGTTAATCCACACTATTGCATCTCTTTCCTTCCCCTCTTCAGTGAGGAAGATAAGGGTTTTGCAGGCCTTAGTACTACTGTAAAGAAAGAAAGAAAAATTAATACAGGTTTATACTTGGGGAGAGCCATTGGAGTTTCTTGATAGCTTAGACACTCAGGTTATAAGGTTGGGGATTGTATATTATTTTTATACATTTTGGAAGATAGATAGATAGATAGATAGATAAATAGATATCATGGATATGCAAGTTAGTTATTTGGGTATACAAATATATATATTTCTGTATGATTTACTTTGGTTCTTGTGTGTAATTGTAATCCATCAATCACATTTATAAGCTGGGAGGACCAAGGAAGTGAATTTTATATCTATTCATGCATGGAAATTTGCAAGAAATGGCACTCTTGAAAAATCTTTTTCAATGATATAGTATCAACTAACAGACTATTTGTTTGCAACAGGTCTTTTCTTATACCTTATCTCCATCATATAGGTATTGTTTGTTATTAATTTAGGGGAGTCTTAAAAAAATCGGGGGCTCATACACATACATGCGCGTAGGATTTGCATACAAGAGAGAGACAACACATACAACCCAAAAGCTTAAGCTATTAGGTTATGGGCCACTCTCGTATATAAGCCCCTTGCATCTCTTGTTTCTTTCCAATGTGGGATTCTCTTCAACTATTCATACGTGAATCCCAATAGTCTCCCCCTCACCTATGAGTCTCTTCCTCATTGGGAATTTCATACTTCTCAAATGGAAGCCATTGTCATATTGCCAAACTTGAGGCACACCAACCAAGAGCCCTTTACTCACACCATTGGGAAGCCAGCTATGGGAGCACCATTCCCATGGATAGAGACATCATGGGTAGGGGTGGATTCGAGCCGAGTCAAGCTGAATTTCTAACCATTCGAGGTCAACTCACTAATAAAGTATGAGACTCGAGCTCAAGCTCAAGCTCGATTTGAGCTAGAGACTTGACCTCGAGTTCGGCTCGAGTCAAAAGGTTGTAAGTTCGAGCTTGGCTTGGTTCAAGCTTGATTAAGAGCTAAATGTTTTATAAAAATAAAAAATTATACATATAAAAATTTATTTTTTTATGTGACATTTAAAAATGAAGAATTATAAAAACAAGTTATTATTATATAAAAAATAAAAATATTATATTTATAAATAACATTTTTATTTTTTATTTATGTATATTTATATATATATATATACACACACGTATGCATGTGTGTATGTATGTATGTATGTATATACATATATGTAAAAGCTCGATTAGGCTAATGAGCCTCACGAAGACTCAATTAGCAAATGAGCCTATATATTGGACTTGAGTTCGGCTTGAAACTTAGTTTAAATCGATCCGAACTGAGCTTTTCACAAGTTGAACTCAAATAGCTCATGAAAAGCTCGGCTCATGGCCACCCCTAATCATGGGAGATCAATTGCTCTTGCCAACTACTTGACCATGGAAAGCCTACAAAGCCATGGGAGTCACCATGTGCATTTGGCAATACTTGCAGCCAACCAAACCTTTGGTTATAATACCACTTTGTTAGGGAAACAAATCCTTTTGTACTTCCCAGTGCAAATAAAAAAGAATAACAAGCAAATAGCAAGTAGCAAATAATAGAAGCAATTTAACAAACACAATGCAAGCAATAATAGAGACATCAAGATTTACGTGGAAAACCCCTTAATGTGAAAAGGCAAAACCAAACGACCGAAGTCCAAATCTTCCACTATCAACCCAATAGTAGGGTATAATGATTTTCTATCTAGTTACAACTAGATGACTACATCAAGAAAAAAAACTCTTGGTTTCCAACAATAAGCATCACCAATGTAGATAGAATGCACAAATAAGAAAATTCTCACCAAGATGGAGAGCAAAAGAGAGAAACTACAGATGTTGTAGGATTCCTTGTTTCTCTTTTACAACCATTGCATTTCTTCTTGTCCCCTTCTCAAAACCCTTCTCCACCAAAACCTTAGAGAGCAAGAGAGAAGATGGAGAGCTGAACTCAATTCGTTGTTAGTCCAAGAACGTGTTGACTTGCAAGTTAAGCCAATACAAAAGCCTTTTTGTTTTACTCTTTTTGCCTTTTGCACTTTTTTTTTTACATTTGTCTTTATTATGTGTGGGTCCCACATGTGTGTACGTGTATGAACCCCCCCAATTTTGATGACTCCACTCGATTAATAATAGTGGTATCATGGTAAGGTTCTTGTGGAAATAATGGAAAGAGATTCAATTAGGATGATTTCATTAAATGAAAGTTATTAGTCTCTTTGGAAATCAAAATGAAAGATACGCTGATTTCTAAAGACTTGTATGCATCATTCAGAGGTAAACAAGGGAAGCCAAAGGACATGTCAAATGATCAATGGAAAATTCTTGACTTGAAAGACATTGCATGTATTCGACAATGGTTGGATGATTGTATTTATCATCTTGTGGCAAATGAAACTTTAATTGTTCCATTATACTTCATTAAATTCATTATGTTTTATCATGTTCTATTATACTTCATTTCTCAATTAGTATTGCAATGTGTGTATATTCTTAGGAATTCTATGAACATTAATGAAATAGATGACATCCCTTTCAATGAGTGGGATGAAGATGACGACGAGTTCTTTGAACTTGTCTTTATAAGTAGAGTGGTTAGATACCACAACACATACTTTGTCAAACAACTGTATTGCACATTAAGGATGAGTGGACTTGCATTTGTGATAGTGTTTGGATGACTTAGAGCATCACGATAAAGTGTATGACACATTTAATATGGAAGGACATGTATTTAAAAATTTTGCAAATCTCTTGAGAGGTCATAGTCGTTTATTCAACAATCGGAATATCATAGTGGATGAATCACTTGCTATTTTTCTTTTGACTGTTAATTATAATGAAATATATCAAATGATTGCAAGTAGGTTCCAACACTCTAAAACTACTATTACTACTTATTTTAGGAGGACTTGCAAAGTAATTTGTAGGCTTGCGAGAGAGTTGAGTTGACCAATATCATTTGAAGAAGTGCAACCACATATCAGACATAGAGGTGTAAATCGGGTCGGGCCACCCGACACGATTTTGGACCGGCATAGCACGACAGCCCACGGGCCGTGCCAGGCCCAACATGATGGTCCGTGTCGTGTTGGGCCTAGGGTTTGAAGTCCATGGGCCGGCATAGCACGGCATGGCACGATCAAGCAGGTCGTGTCGCCTGCCACCCGCGACCAGGCCCAACATGACCCATATATACTATTTATATATATCTTATATATATTTATATATATATACTATATAAATTATAATTATATAATAATATATAGTATATAAAAATTTTAAGTTTTTTTTCAATTTTTTTTAAATAAATAGGCAAAAACAGCTTTGGTCCGGTCCATGGCCTGACTTGGGCCAAGGCTTGGCCCACGGGCCAGCTCAGCCCACAGCACAACACGGGCCCACGTGGACCTAGGCTGTGGACCGTGCTGGGATGACCCCCAAAATTTTCACCGAGGAGGGCGGCATGGCCCATGATTTGGCCCGATATGGCCCACTTTACACCTCTAATCAGACATTCAGAGAAATATTACCCATAGTTTCAAGTATTTCATTGGTGTCTTGTATATCTATATATGTCATGTATTTTTTATATATTGATAATGTATATGACCACATAGGATTGTAATGGGACAATTAATGGTACCAATATAAGTGCATGGGTTCATTTGGACAAGAAATCCCATATAGGGGGAGGAAGTCGCATTGCACCAAAAATGTGTTTATTGTAGAAGCTATTTCTCAACTACATTAAATATTCCCACATCCGCATGGAGATAATATATTTTGACATTTTTGGTTGGTATACTTTTATTTACCCATGTTTAATGCATTCGATTGCATATGGTGTTTATAGGAAAATATTATCTTGTGGGTCTTGGATTGCCCAGTGGATCTGTAAAGAAGAAGATTATGGTCAAAGAATGAATTATTTAATAACAGATACCCATCATTAAGAAATGTTATAGAGAGGTGTTTTGGGATATTAAAGGGAAAATTTCCTACCCTGTAGAATATGTCATCATTTGATTTACGAATGCAATAATACATCATAGTGGCATATTTTTTTTTTATGAATAATAATAAGTTTATTGATTCAGAAGCAACTTTAGAGTGAGTTCATACATCATCCCAACGAGAGGCACGAGCTGCAGCCCCTCCTTGAGTCTTACAAGTAAACTAGGAAAGAAAAACAATAATCACAACTGAGCCCAAAATAATTATTCCCTATTTACCCCTTGCTT